ACTGGAGGCGCAGGGGCCTGAACTACAGGTGACACTGGAGGCGCAGGGGCCTGAACTACAGGTGACACTGGAGGCACTGGAGACTGAACTGAAAGTGACACTGGAGGTGCTGGAGACTGAACTGAAAGTGACACGGGAAGCTCTGGAGACTGAACTGAAAGTGACACTGGAGGCTCTGGAGACTGAACTGAAGGTGACACTGGAGGCTCTGGAGACTGAACTGAAGGTGACACTGGAGGCTCTGGAGACTGAACTGAAAGTGACACTGGAGGCTCTGGAGACTGAACTGAAGGTGACACTGGAGGCTCTGGACACTGAAATGAGGGTGACACTGGACACTGAAATGAGGGTGACACTGGAGACAGAACTGAAAGTGGCACTGGAGACACTGATGACAGAGCTGAGAGTGGCTGCGGGGCAGCTAACTGAGCTGAGAGTGGCTGCTGAGCAGGTGATACGCTGTTCACATAATCATCTGCCACACAGAACACAGCCCCTGAATGAACAGTCACACAGTCCGAAAACGGAAAAGAGTCCTCACTCACCACAGCCGGCGAATTAGAAGCCCGAACGTCCGGCTGTGGGGTGGCGCGCCGGCGGCGCGATCGGCGTTTCCTCCCCGCAGACGGCTCCGACGGGCCGGGCAAGATCACATCCGGCGAGTCGGGCAGCGAGGCAGGAGTGGCTGAGAGAAGGTGAGGTGTGTGCCGGAGAAAAGCCTGCATGGTCGGAGGAAGCGACTTCAGAAGCCATGGCAGGTCAGAAAAGAGCTGTTGTAGCCGGCGAAGCTCCTCCGGAGGGTTCTCTAGCCACAGCCCGAGGAGAATCTCCACATTATACGTAATGTCGTCCTGGAGCTCCTCGGACGGATTTACTGCCGCTGGGTCCATAGTGGCTGGTTCGTACTGTCACGTCCGGTGTGGCAGACGTGTTGAATTGGAGATAGGACCCAAAATCAGACCCAGAATCAGGACAGTTTTGGTGCCGAAAACCCGGTTTGAGGAGGGACTTTTGTGGTTTGGCTGAGGTCCAGTGGTGTCAAACCGACGGACAGCAGCCAGCAGGTCGACTGAGTGGCGGGCTAGCCAAGAAATAGAAAGGTAAGCACCACCTGTTGATTAAAGTAATATCTAAAGGTGTTAAATTGGAAATTAAGCTAAATTAAATGTTCACTCAGTGGAGCTTCTGGGGAAATGTCCGTGGTGATTTTGGGTAATTAGTGATAAAAGGTTTTGGGGAATATTTGACTGACAAAATTTATTGCTGTTAATTCTGGGGTGAATTTTAAGTTAATAGGTTGTGTGTTTCGGTTAATATGTTATGTGTTTAAGTTGATGTGTTATATTTGTTGACTGTGATGCCAGCCAAGCAAGCTTTAGATTAGGGTATTTGGCTAAGGGATTTTATTCCCAGATTGATCAGCAGAACTGGGTTCAGGCATCAGATAACAGACTGTTGAGGCTTGGAGTCCACAGTGATGCTTTTAAAAAGTGTGTAAATTAGCCTAGACCGGGGTTGGACCCCGTAGAGCGCAGTTTTGTTCAGCGTGTAGCGACGACCAGTAACCGTGGACGCATG